CACTCCATAATCGAACATTGGCTGAAAGGCATACATCTGTCGGCAAAACCGACCGATACTTTTTTTCATTGGCTATAGTACCCATTAAGATTTTCAAGTACGAAACTATTCCGGTGAATAATGTCGCTAATATCATAATATACCGAATATTGTGAGGTGGGCCTACATAGACAATTTTCTGTCGTAAGTTGTAGTGCCCCTTAGGATCTCCACATATGAAATTTGAAACATTCCGGTGAATAATGTCGCTAATAAAGATAGGACCCTTATATGGAGGCTATACAAAGATGTGGGTCTACATAGGCAATTTTCTGTCGTAAGTTTTAGTACCTATTAGAATCTCCACATACGAAATTTGAAACAATTCCGGTGAAAAGTGTCATCAAAATAGCGAATAAAGGGAGGTACCGTTATATGAGAGCTATGCATACGAAATTTTATGTCACAGGCTGTAGTATCCATTACGAATTTTAAACATGGGTGCTTTACAAAGACGTGGACCCTCAATAAATTGGTGTAGGGTATAAAAAACTTGTTCTATATGTTCTCACCTTTGGGGATTTGTATGATAGTCGATATAACCATAAGTAAAATTCTTACATGGTGGAGGGTATGTAATGTTAACATAGTATTACATGTTTTGTTTGAATCTTCTACCAATAATAAGTTTTTTACGTTTTGTTGCTGCTTCTTGTTTAAAATTTATTTCTTACTTCTTCATGAATATTTAAAATCTTTGCACACAATAGCCATTATATTATGGTACCATTAGATTTTCGCTTATTTTAAGAATTTTAATTTTTTGTCGATCCTCAGCATACAAAAAATGTCTTATAAGACAATTTGGAACACACATATTTTCCAATGATTTCATTTCCTAATTTCGACACATTAATTCACATGCCAAAGGTAAACAATTTTCCAAAACAAAATGAAACACACATTTTAACATTTTCCACATTAATCTGACACACAAAGTACACACATGGAAAAACTCACTCAACTGTGAGTGCAAGTGTGTGTGTGTGTGCGAGCGTTTGAGTGCGTCAGTGACCTAGGGGTAAACACAAAGTCCTTGACAAGTATTTTGTTTTGTATTAGCTTTCCATGACCTTCGCAATCACGTGAAAAGATAGCAACACCAGGAAAACGTTATTGATTATTTTCTGTTTTGTGCTCACACTTTGCGATTTTCACTGGAATTCTATATGCGATGGGGGTTTAGTTGTGGAATTTGTATACTTTTCTAATATTATTTTATTATTTTAACTCTTTCATATTTTAAAAAAGCCCTGTTGAAGGCAAAAACAACGGTCTCCATAGATAACACACAAAAAAATTTGGAGAACTTGAAATAGTTTTTTTTTTACAAAACACGAAATCGATGTAAATTCTCTTAGAAGTTTTCATCAAACAGCCTACGCAACAACCTACCATATCTGTTCTGTTCAGTTAACAATAATTAAATAACCACTAAACTTGCTTAATTAACTCAATGTTGTTTGTTTTGTTTGTTTTAAAGATTACGACCTTCTGTGGGAATTTATAAACACTGACTGAATGGAATGACACCATCGGTTGGTCGCTCGGTCGATGGTTGCCAGTTGCTAGACAGCTATTGCTTAGGTCGAGTTGCCAACTATTTTTTGGTTGATTTTTGTTGATATGGCAACTAAAGTATTACCGTTACGAAGACATATTTTAAACCCATTTCCGTTAGGAATAAATACTTTTTAAAAAATAATTTCTCTGCCAAAACGAAAAAAAAATACTACGGCAACCGATTTGTCCTTTGCGATATCGAAAAAAATCTAAAACTAGTAGATAATTTCTCTGCCAAAACGAAAAAAAAATACTACGACAACCGATTTGTCCTTTGCGATATCGAAAAAAATCTAAAACTAGTAGATACTTGCAGCTTCTAGAACAGATCAAAAATCAACAACAAAGCAGCATTAAATGGAGTAAATTATTTCATTTCTTCAAAGGAAATCTATCAGGCTCATATCAAGTACGATCAAGTATCAAAAATATCAGAGTTAGAAAAGATGATTATTTAAACTATATTTTTTCGAAGATAGAAATAGGAATTTAGATTTTTACAGAATATTTTTTTAAGTCTATCCTAGGGATAAACCTAATTCTTTAGCAACATTTTCAAGGGAAAGCAGAGAGGGAAACCGGGTTTTTTCAGGGATTATCAGACATGAATTTTTAAACAATACTTTTTCAAGGACTTTCAGAGCTATAAATGAGGTATTTTAAAGAATACCTTTTCCAGAACTACCAGAGCTATAACGTGGATTTTTAAATAATACTTTGTTAGGGACTATCAGAGCTACAATCGCGAATTTTAAAGTTTTTTCAGAATATTTTTTGAAAGATTTTCAGAGCTTTACATGCGGATTTCCACACAATAATTTTTCAATGACTATCAGGCAAAGAATCGCAGATTTTTAAATATGTTTTTCAGGTATAGAAACATTGATTTTTAAAAGAATATTTTTTGAACTATCGTGGATTTTTAGAGAATATTTTTGAAGAACTTCAATAGCTACAAACGTGGATTTTTAATGAATATTTTTTGAAGGACTTTCAAAGCTACAAACGTGGATTTTTAAAGAATATTTTTTGAAGGACTTTCAGAGCTATAAACGTGGATTTTTAAAGAATATTTTTTGAAGGACTTTCAGAGCTATAAACGTGGATTTTTAAAGAATATTTTTTGAAGGACTTTCAGAGCTATAAACGTGGATTTTTAAAGAATATTTTTTGAAGGACTTTCAGAGCTATAAACGTGGATTTTTTGAAGGACTTTCAGAGCTATAACGTGGATTTTTAAAGAATATTTTTTGAAGGACTTTCAGAGCTATAAACGTGGATTTTTTGAAGGACTTTCAGAGCTATAAACGTGGATTTTTAAAGAATATTTTTTGAAGGACTTTCAGAGCTATTAACGTGGATTTTTAAAGAATATTTTTTGAAGGACTTTCAGAGCTATAAACGTGGATTTTAAAGAATATTTTTTGAAGGACTTTCAGAGCTATAAACGTGGATTTTTAAAGAATATTTTTGAAGGACTTTCAGAGCTATTAACGTGGATTTTTAAAGAATATTTTTTGAAGGACTTTCAGAGCTATAAACGTGGATTTTTAAAGAATATTTTTTGAAGGACTATCTAAGCGTGGCATTTTTACCTTAACGCAGGCTTTTAAGGAATATTGTTTGAATATTTTTCGCAAGAACTTTCAGACATAAAACGTGGATTTTTAAACCATATTTTTTCTAGGACTTTCCGACAGAAAATCATGGATTTAAACCAAAAATTTTTAGACCAATATTTTTTCATTTAATTTTTCAACGACGATCAATGACTTAAATTTGGATTTTTAAACAATATTTATCAAACACTATGAGACATAAAAATGTGGATTTTTAAGATCATTAATTAATTTTCTCAATATTTCTTCAATATTTACAGGAAGAATCCAATTGATTTTGAAAGTAGAACTAATAATCTAAAAAGTATCAGACAGATGTATACCTTCAATCTATGTCCATCTATTTAAATATATTTCGACTTACGTAATGTTGTCAAACTGTTGACCCTTTGTAAGAGAGGTACCTGAAGGGGTGGTCCTATATCTATCATCTTCGCACCAGATCTTGCTTTAGTAGAAATATTGAAATTTCTAATTTAACATTTTATGAATGATATAAATATTTAAAAATTTGACCCGTTGTTGGGTCAAATTCCATCTTCATACCTGGAAAGGAATCGGATTCTCATTTCGCGTTTTACGAACTTCGTGGCTATTCAAAATTTTGATCCGTTGTGGGGTAGGTACCAAAAAGCGTGGACCGACATATCCCATCTTCACACCAGATCATTTGTTAATAAAATATTGGAATGTGTGAAATTTTATGATAATCGGCCTCTTATTTCGCATTTTATAAAAGTTATAATTATTCAAAATGTTGACTCTTTGTGGGGCACGTATTTGATGGGGTTATGTTAAAAATATTAGGATTTTTAAAGTTTGCACAAATTGGATGATGCCATTCTTGTTCTTCAAGGTAAATAGTTATCTCTGGGAATTTTGGTCTTTTGTGAAGGAGATACCAGAAGAAGGGGACCAATTTTGCCCATCTCTGAGCTTTCGATCATAATATAAACCATGTTTGGACAAATATCGGATTATCTTTTCGAGAGTTTTCCGGTGCACCAGATAAACTAAAACGAATTTGATTAAAATAGACCTGAAGTGCGATTCTCTAACTCATTTTTTGATTTACCGGCAAATATCGGTAACTTTGAAACCCAAAATTTTGATATAAAAAATAAGTTAAGGTTGGCAAAATTGGTATCTATCGTAGGTCATACCGACTACTTGGATTTCATTGCTAACTTACCGACAAATTTCGTTATTTACCAAAATTATAAGCATTTTAATTTTACCGACTTTTGTCGGTAACTCACTTGACGCTTAAAAATCCTTTTTGGTTATTCGCTTGAGGGTTAAAATTTTTGATCAAAAGGATTCTTGTGTTGTTCTCTGTAATATTGGCAAAGACACTATGTACCTATAATGCAAGGATTTCAAGGAATCCTAATTCGAAAACTTCAAAAAGTGGATGAGAGGGGAATTCACCCACCCTTCAATTTAGGTTACTTTGCGAGGTAAACTCTCAAAACGATGTCTTCTAATTTTAGCTCTACTTTTATAATCTACAAGTTTTTCCTGAAAATATTTCTTATTGACAGTGCTATCAGAGGGAGAAACGTAGCCCATGAAAGACTTCACAAATGAATAAACTGAATGTCTTGTTGGAATCTCCATTTTTTGTTTTCTTCTGAATTTTATTTACGATAAAAATGTATGTGTTTTTTACAATCATTAGAAAAAAATTGCACTTTTTCTTACAAAGGTTGGTTTCATATTCATTTATGTATGTGTTTTATGTTTTAAATGTGGTTATGTTTGTTGTTGTTGTTTGCCTTGTGGTTTATAGGTTGTTTCAAATATGGGATTACACAGAACCCCAAACAAAATTTCGAGTACTATATACTATAAATATTTTACATTCATACATACATATGGACATATATATGTGAGAGCATAAGTTTCTTTTATTTGTTATACCTGCATAAAATTGTAACATTGGAAAACTTTATATAAAAAACACGAATGGTTATCAGTGTTTGTGTGTGTGTGTATTTTGGTTTTAAAATATGTGATTTTGGTAAAAAAAGAGTCCTGGCTATTAGATTTTGTTTTTTTTTTTTTTTTTTTGTTCTTTATCATATTAAATTCCTTTGTATCAATTCGCCGTCTAGTTTTCTTTTTTGTTTAAATATAAATATTAGCAAGAGAATTAGTATTTTGAGATAATATTACATTATCGGAATTAAAATAATTTATATTTTAGGGTTTTTTCTTTAAATGTTGTGTTAGATTGTTAGAATAAATGGTATTAGCTTTTTTACTTTCGACAATTAGAGTTTTTGTTTTAATAGGAATAAATTTATTGTCTGTCTCTCTTTTTAAGAAAAAATTATATATAGATTTTTTGAAAATATTTTAGATTTCATCTTTTTTGGTTCAAAATTTTTCTTTTGAGTTACGTTTTTCCTAATTTTGGTATTTGTATGTCTTCTGATTTATAAAAGCCAATGGGTTTTCTTTTTTTCTTTTTTCACATTAACAATAAATTGTAAGCCTAAAAAACTAAATAACAAAGATGTATATATTTTGTTTAGTTTTGGTATATTTTAAGGGGGGTTTTTGTGTATTTTTTTGTCGGGGAATTTGGGAGTTTCTTTTTTCCCCAGCCGGAATTGTTTTAACAACCAACAAGCTTCAGCAAATTGTGGCGGCGCATTCAAAGCAAGCTGGAAAATAATGGAGAAAAACAAGTATTATAATATAAAATTAATTAAATAATGAAATTGTTAATAAAAACGAAATCTAATTTGAATTTAAAAATTTGAGTTTTTAGAAACTGAATCCAATTTGAGTCTATTCTAAAGTCTCCAGGGTTAATTACACGATGCAACAACAAAAATAATAAGGAACATCCAGTGTATTATGAAAGTAGAACTAAACCAGTAAAGAAAGCCTTCAAGTCGGTCGTGGCGACTTTATGATACCCTACACCACTTTGAATATTTAGTAGAGCTTCACATAACATATATAAGTTTTTATGGAGAATTTGTGAGAATTAAATCATACCAGCTATGATTATAATTATTATTGAAAATTAAAAGGACTAAATTTGCCAAGGCATTTGTATCTTTTCAATATCGGGCTTGTATTACCCATTTAACTTGAATTCGGATAAAGATATATATATGAGCTATATCCAAATCTGAACCGATCTCGATAAAAATTTACATAGGTATTTCTGAGCTGTATTTAATATATTTCCCTAAATATCGTTGTTACGGAATGCATATTACGTATGTGAGGAACAAATATAACAAATCGGATGAACAATATATATGGGAGCTATAGCTATATCTGAACCCATCTTCAGCAAATTTGACATACTAATTTCTGAACTCAATTTGGTCGTAAGTGCCAAATTCCATCCCATTTGGGCTAATATTACATGTTTGGTGCACAATAAAGTACAAATCGGACGAAGTTATGTATGAGAGCTACATCCAAATCTGAGCCGATCTAGATAAAACTTTACAAAGGTATTTCAGAGCTGTATTACATTTCCCAAAATATCGTTGTTACAGAATGCATATTACATCTACGGAGGACAAAAAATAACAAATCAGATGAACAATATATATTTGAGCCTATTTCGATCAAATTTGGCATACTTATTTTCAGGCTTAATTTGGTAGTATGTGCAAAGTTCCATACTACTTGGGTTGATATTACACATTTGGTGCACAATAAAATGCAAATCGGACGAAGATACATGTGGGAGCTATATCTAAATTTTAACCGATTATCTCCAATCGGGTTCGTCCTTGGGTCAAACAAATGATTTGTGCAAAATTTCATCTGGATCGGGTAATAAATGCGACCTGTACTTTGTTTACAAAAATACATGGACAGACGGACGGACAGACATGCATAAATCGCCTCAGAATGTGATTCTATGCAGATCCTCAAAAGAAACTATGGGTCTATCTTGTTTCGTTTTCCTGTTACAAACAGATGCACAAAGACATAATACCCCGACCACCTTGTGGTGTAGGGTATAAAAATAGAAAACACGTTTATTGGTGTTTCGAAAATTGGCATGACAAAGTAACCTACATAAAGGGGCCAAGATTTCCTCGCCTTCACATTTTTTTTTAATTTTCAGCTAATTCAAAGAGGCTCTCATCGAAGAAGCATGCAGTGGCACCTGGCAACAAGTTGAAAGGTATACAGGGCCGGCAATCTCGATGAAAAAACTATCCCTTCTTCCAATTAGCAGGTACGATCCAAGAATTGTTGTGGACATATTGGCTGACCATTGCAGTATCAGATATCTGATACACGGGTTCGACTACTATAGACTATGTGAGGAAGATAGACAGGTACAGCCGATTGAACACCTACTATGCAGATGTTCCTCGCTGTCAAGCAAAAGTCATAGGCGATTCGGTAGAAGGATGTTGATCCCATTATAATCCACAGGCTTGCTAAAAGCATATCATGGCTAGTCAAACCTTGGTATAACTATATATCTGTATCTCTCCTTCCTTTGCAAATTTATATATTTTTTTTATTATAACTAATTCCTTTTAGGATGCACACAATGGACCAATGATCTCCAAATGAAGCAGCTGCCGACTTCAATGCTACTGCACATCCTGTAACCTAACCTTATATTAACATCTTACGATCCCGCTTAAAGGGAGTCTTTGACAATGCCTTCAAAAAAAGTTCAAAAATTCCCCTTTGGTGCTCGCTCAAGGTTCAACTTTTTCGACCAATTGTTTTATTAACCGTAATATTGCAGAAGACACTAGAGACTTCCAAGGAATCTTAATTGGAAATTAAAAAAAAAAAATCTGGAAGATGGGAGAACTTGTCCCTCCATTTAGGTTACTTTGCGATGTAAACTCCCAAAACATCTTCAAAATGTCATCTTATTTTATATCTACTTTCATAATCTACTAGAATTTTCCTGTAGTTATTGAAAAAACTATTACACTTACACCATATCTCTCCCCGCATCTTATTCCTCTTCATACACCATCTCCTCCAAACAGGCTCTTGTCGTTACGTTTTCCACTCGTCTTTTGTTCTTCTCTCCCATTACATAAAGCTCAGGCATTTAAACCGATTTCGAATATGGCTCCAAAGCTACATCGAATAGCTTGATATCACCCTGAATATAAATCGTATCAATTGTACTGGGACTGACACGGAACTTATATTCGGTCAGCAGTTGATGGTTGACATAAATCTTAAACGAATCATCGCCATGGACAATTTGCAAACTAAACGGTTTGCCGGGCAGGAATTTCGTCTCCAAATCGGAACGTTCCTCCTGACCCCAATTGCCATCGATCCATGAGTTGCGTATCACTGTGGCACGGCCAATGGCACCGGAACTTTGTTTGGTAAAACGTGGATTTAAATGCAACGCTACAACGGGATGGGGCCAACAATTGTGGCCCGACTGCATGTTTATGTAGAACGATTGTGGCAGTAATCGAACACGTCCCTCCACCTTAAGTACACGGCCCAGCTGGAATGAATTACGCGGTATGGTACCATAATAGGGTAACTTGATTTCATTTAATGCTACAATTTTCGGTTCATATTCAATGTCACCATTGGCCTTCTTCACAACGCGCCATTGGGTTATAACTTTGTCATCTTCCGCATCGGCGGGTACAGCAACTCGGTCAGTCTCATCGTAAGCAGCCACCGTGTGCGCATCGGGCAGTGTTGGTTCTCGCAGAGCTCTAGCCAAACGTACCTTTTGTGGTACCGATTCCGGCAAACGTTCCGGATAGTGTTGCACCTCCAAACGCTCAACGGTAACATCTTCAATTTCACCCTTCACTTCGAGACTTTGGACACTTTCATAAGGCAAACGATGATAGAATTTACAGAAATGATAGCCATTCACTGAGATCATGTAACACTCTTCGGTGAATAGGACCTGAACGGAAAATGCGGCGCCACGTCTTAAACTAAAGGGCAATGCCGAGGCTACCTCTTCTCGACCCCAGGCATTGCGGACTTTGGTATTGCGTACAATGTAATTTTGAGGTAGACGAGGATTAATGTGCAGGGCTACATCACGTGTGGCATTTTCAATGATGAAGTTTATGGAGAACCTGTAGAAGAAGAGGGCGAAATGTCATCAATAAAATCCATAAAAAAAACTATTTATATGTCACTCACCTTTCACAGTGTTTCTTTGTTCGTCCTTTCACCGTAAAACTGACACCCTCGTGCAATTTGCCCAAATTCGGATTCGAATACACCGGCTCATCTTCGCCGTCCTGGTAGAGAATAGTCTGTAAATGAAAAATAAATAAAGTTAATAATGTTAAATAAGATTTAGTAAAATTCAAATAAATACAAAGGAACGCCATTTTTGAATGCGACAGCATCGTGACATACAACACATGGAAATATTTTTCAAAAAATTTCCAAAATATATTATTAAAAAATTATCTTGAGGCAAAATAAATTTTACCTCATCATGCTGACTGTTATCAATATCGTGAACAAGAAAATGGCTATGTGAAGTCAATATATCCAAATTTGTCACCATAATTAATATTTGTCTAAAAAATATGTTTGACAGTCCAATTGGTGTAATGTATTTTTTAATATGAAAAAATAAGACAAGACACTATAATTTGGAGTTCGGATTATAGAACTGGAAACTTTTATCAAGAAAAGTAATGTCAAATGAAAAATTTTATAAAGGAAATGTTTTTTCATTTTATATTTTCATAGAACTTTGGAATTAATCAATAGATTGATACTAGATGAAATATTCATTAATCTGGGATAGAGGGTAAGTAAATGCAAGACTGAACAAGTTTTAGTGGTTGTGGCAGCCATTTATTTGCATTATTTAATAACATAGCATTGAATTTAAAGTGGCGCTCAATAAAATGGACAACTGGCGCCCAACGTGGATTTTTTAAACAACAAAGTTCAGTGATGACATGCATTACATTAAACGTCGGTAATTTTTCATTTTGTATTATGCGCAACATGTGTAATATTCTGAATTAGAAAATGGCGCCCAATATGTTTTTAAATAGTTGTTCAACAGAAATGTCCGTTGTAGTTTGAACTGCGGATTTATGATCTGGAATTTGTTATATTGAAATGGAACCAAATGAGTTTTTAAAACGTTGGAGGATAAACGCCAAGGACTTCGAAGAAAATCCGTAAGAAACCGTCATTAATCTGAGTTGTGAGGTAAGATAATCAATTATTAAATATGTGCCACAGACTTGTCTTAAAAATTGGGTATTGTAAAAGTGACTAAGTCGCTTTGAGCGTCATTTCTATGCTCTGTTAACGTAATTACAAAACATTGAGTTCTTATCATGCTTATTCTATACCCAGATACATAATAAAGACAGCAAATGGCGCCCAACGTGGTATTATGTCTTCGGGCATTTGTTTGTAACATACAGAAGGAAACAAAATAAACCCATAGTTCCTTTTGATAATATTCAGATTCTTATATATTTTCCTCCGATTTCAATTTTGCTCCATATGTGTAATATTAGTCCAATAAGATGTATTTCGGGTCATCTCACCGAATTCATCCTAGAAGTAAATCCACTCCACAACAATAGTTTTTGGTAACAGATATCAGATACAACAGATTTGGATATAGCTCCCATATTAATCTTTATCCAAGTTTACATTTATTATGTGGTTGATATCAGTCCAAGTGAAGTGGATTGTGGCACACACGAGTGAATTCAGCATGGAAGCATGTTCTTCAATGACGCCCAATGTAAAATGGATACTCTCCATCCACGTAGCTCAAATAAAGCGCCACTAAGAAAATACAAATATGTATCTTAAAATATATATATCTACGATTTTTAAAATATATCACATATTTGATATTTTTAGTGGCGCCCAATGTGAACAATGTTAGCAGTTTCTTAAAAATTAATATTTTGATTTAAATGTTTGTGATATTTTAATGGCGCTCAATGCAAGCAACGCGAATATTTTCTTTATTTCAAAGTATTGAAATAAAAAATGTTATGTTAAGGAGTTAAAAAAGGCACGCAACGCGTTTCCTTAAACATTGAAATTATTTAACACCATCAAAGATGGGTTAAAAGTCGGGAGGGGCCTACTATATGATACTCTACACCACTATGTGTATTTAGTAGAGCTCCCATAACAAAAAAGCCTATATTGGGAGATTATTTGAAGTAGATCATACCAACTAAAAAAATATTTACTGGAGCAATAGGTATACCAGACCGAATTTCACCAAATCGTAAAAAAAAAATGTGAAAAAATATATTCAAAAATCTATCAAACATATATAAACATATATATATATATGTTTGATAGATTTTTGAATATATTTTTTCACATTTTTTTTTTACGATTTGGTGAAATTCGGTCTGGTATACCTATTGCTCCAGCTATATCTGAAACGATTTTCACCAAAATTTAAAGCACTTGCTTGTAGGATGAATTTAGCTGGAATTGCCAAAATTCAGTCCATTTGGTCTGATATTAGCCATTTTGTGCACAATTAATTGAAATCGGTTGAAGATATATATTGGAGCTACATCTAAATTTGAACCGATCCTCACCAATTTCAATAGGGTTCGTCCATGGACCAAACAACTATTGTTTGGAAAATTTCATCTCAATCGGATAATAAATGCGACCTGCAATTTGTTCACAAAAATACATGGACTGACGGACGGACGGAAGGAAGGACAGATGGGCTAACATGTATAAATCGACTCAGAAAGTGATTCTATGAAGATCCTTAAAAGTAACAATGAATCTATCCCACTTGCTTCTCCATGTTACAAACAAATGCACAAAGGCATAATGCCCTTACCACTATGTGGTGTAGGGTATGAAAATTAAATGTTTGCGATTTTTCAGTGACGTCCAAGAAGAGCAACGAAGATATTTTAGCTGAAATAGCACAAATTATAATTCAATGCCTAAAGATGAAGAAAAAATCCAAGTTGCTCACATTGGGCGCCAATTAAAATTTTAATTATAATATCCTTAAGTAAAAACGCAAGCTAAGAAACTTCGGCGGGGCCGAATTGATTACATTCCACCATATGGAACGAATTTGTACATAAATTAAAAAAAAATAAATAAAATCCGTCAAAAATTCTGTTAAAATCTTAAAAATAACCAATATAGGCATTATAATGAGGTCTATACGGAGACGTGGATCTGTATAGCCAACTTTTGTCATAAACTTTTATAATATTTAAATACGAAGCTTGAAAAAATCGAGTGAAGAATGTAGCTAAAATCATCAAAATATTGAATATAGGGCGTTACCGTTATATGGGGGCTATACGAAGACCTGAACCTGCATAGACAAGTTTCTGTCACTTCAAATACAAATTTTCAAACAATTTTGTTGAATATTTCACCTAAAATCAAATAAAATACCAAACATAGGTAGGTACTGATATATTATGCCTATACGAAGACCTGAACCTGCATAGACAATTTTCTGTCATAGACCGTAGTTCCCATTATGAATTCTAAATACGAAATTTGAAACAACTCCGGTGAATAATGTCACTAAAATATATATTAGAAGGTGCCGTTATATGGAGACTATACGAAGACGTGGTTTGCATACACAATTTTTTATCGTAGGCGTAATGCCCATCACGAATTCTAAATACGAAATTTGAAAAAAAAAACTCCGGTGAATAATGTAACTAAAATCGTGATATCGTATAGCCCATATACTGTTGTATATGAGCTATACGATATCATGGACCTATATATACATTTCTCTTCCAGTGGGCCAAGTGCTTAGAAAGAACTTCTAGTATGGATTTTTAGACAATTCCATTGAAAGATTTAACTAAAATCATCAAAATGCCGAATATGGGGAGGTACCGTTATATCGGGATATACAGTATCATGGACCTATATAGACAATACTCTTCCAGGGGATAAAGTACTCACAAGGAACTCCTTGTGTGGATTTTCAGACAATTCCTTTGAAAATTTTGACTGAAATCATCAAAATACCGAATATCATCAAAATACCGTTATAAAGGAATATTTCTACGATTTTTGGCAATATTAATACACATATTTCCTTGATATATCATTGCATGATATTTATTTTCTTTGACTTAAAATGTTTGTCTAAAAATATGTTTGCCGTTGAAGTTAGCCTTCTGAATTTAGCATTTAAGTTTTCCCAAAACCCTATACATAAATATGTGACATCAAAAACCATCCGCTATATGTAATTAAGGAAAACGATAACCTTTTTTTTGAAAAGAAGAATTTGTTAAAAGTCTTATATATTTTAACAGTATTTTTATAGTTTTTTAGTCGATAGTTATTTGCAAATTAACTACCATAAAACATACACCAACCTCTATAATAATATCGTAAAACGTTGGCCTATGTATCTACTAATTGAATATTCAATGCAAGTATGTCATACATTCATACTATTAATCGCATGTATGATGTATGTTATTTATAAGTTTGATTATTATTTCTATTAAAAGAATTTGTGTTATTAATTGAAAAAGAGCAAGAAGAGAAAAGACGCGTCGTGTAATAACAATGACGCTATTGCAAACAACATACTCATCAGTCGTTCCGCAGCGTTTTTGTTTATAACAAATTTTGGGTTAAGGCAGTAATGGCTCATGGACGTGCCGGGGATTGCTATTTACGGTTTGTGTTGACTGTTTTTTTGAAGTTATGACATTATCAGTTAAGTATGTGATTCCACTTGAAAACGACAAGCATTTTTTTGTTTATTATTTTTTTTTTTTTTTTTGGGATTGGGGATGTTAATAAGACCGTGTGTGTTTGAACAGTGGATACTTTGCAAAATGAATATTAAGAATGCTCATAGCATGGTACACTGAATACATGATAGGCTAACTATAGGTTGTAGAGGTCTACCCGATTGGCTTGTAAAATCAGGATTACTATCAAAGCAATCAAACAACTTGTTGCATTGATTTTGAATAAATAATTGAAAACCGCAAAAACTGAATGAAAGGTCAAAATTTATTTTCAAAATCATGTTCTAAATATCTGTATAGGTTCATTTCACTACAAAAACTGTAGATTTTGTCGATGTATACGTTGAAATAAGCATTTTGAAAACACCTGAATTTGAATATTTTCTGAACCATTTTTTATTGAAAAGAATACACACACATAAACAAATAAAGTTGACATAGAGTCTAAAATGTTGATATGTAATTTATACCACTCTCTTCCCTGAGGCAATAATCCACCAGTGTAAGCGCCCATTAATGAGAGGTTC